TGATACAGTAAAAGTATCAGTTCCTTTCCATGCAGAACTCAATTTGTAAGTTACAACGTTATTGGAACCTAGAGTCACAGTTGCTTGGTTTACTTGTGTGACCGCTGTAACAGTGACACTGTTTGAATCAGAATCAGAAAATCTTGACGCAAGACTAATGTTGACTCCAGTTGAATAAACACTTCTCCAATGGTAAGTAAATGAAGTGGTATTTGCTGTTGGAGCACCATTATTAATGGTAATGGAGATGGTTCCAGATACATATTCTTTGGAATCTGAAATTACAAAGGTAATGCTATTTACAGAGCCAACAAAACCACTCGTAGGCTTAAATAAAATTGATTTTCCACTGCCTGTTAAGGTCAATGTTCCTTGACTCGATGTTATGGATGTAGCTGGTCAAATTTTTGACCTGGAAAGTCCTGGTTCAGGAAGGTTAAAAATTTTGACCGGGAATATATTTGGTCAAATGTATACAAACGGACGGCAAGGGCCAAATCGATTTTCCTTAATGGTATGATGTGCCTTAATCAACGTGCCTTCGCAAAAAACAGCGGCAAACAGTGGGCGTTGAAAAAAACTTCATCATCATCAGTAAATTATTTTCGCTTCATCTTTGGATTATGGATCATCGGCAACTCATCAGCAATGCTGTCTGATTGGAACTGTTACCTCCATCTTTATTGCACTAAAATTCCTCAATTCTTCACTGAGTTTTTGCGAAGCTTTCAAACCAAGAAATTTCTCCATTAACAGTAACCCGATCTAGTCCGAACTCGATGAATACTAGAGAACCATATTGCAAGCTGTGCTGTTAGGATGGGCTCTTTGAAAGTTCCTTATCATGGTTTCGGTCGTGTTGATCTTCTTCTTATTGGGATGAAGCGGTTTGGATAGAAATTTGTTCTTGGCTGCTCCGAATATGAAGGAAACAGGATCGAAATCTGAAAATGCTTCCATACGTGCTCATCAACCTCGGTAATGTGTGCACCAAATTTCGTGGTGTGATTCGAAGGAAAAGTCCATCATCGTTGTTACTCTTTAGTATCCTGTATTTTTCCTAAGCCAATTAAGGCCACGTAAAATCTTGGCTCGTACTTCACAGACTCTGCTACAACTTGATATAATTGTTGTCCTTATAATATCAACATCATTATCATTGAGTAATCTCATCTATTCATTCCGGTATTTCGACGGAGAGAGATGGGTAACAAGGGTCATCATATTCGTGGTATTTTCTATAACCACAACACATTTATCAATATATTGATATAAATTTCAAACTTCTTA